ATTGATCTTACCATCACTCTGAAGTCTATCTAGGGAGCTCCTGGTTGAGCATAAGTTCTCAGAAATTACTTTGGCAGTGAATTCAATTGATGTTAATGTTGAAGCAGTAGGATTTGAGGTTGAAAAGGCCCATAGGAAGCTAGTTATATTCCTGATGGACTCCAAGAAGAAAGGAATTCTGCTTCCTCCATCACTGCCGGACTCCTCCTTACCCTCTGAGGAGCACAGCTAGAGATAAATGAGGTGTACTAGAGTGGGAGTAAGACAGCATTGACAATACATCCAACCTGGAGAATGGAGACACTATTGACGCTCCAGCACTTGTTCAGGGACTTTTGAGAGTTGTGTTTTTTTAGCCTTAATCTGGATTTCCTTTTTAGGTAACAGGAATATCCTTTTTTGAAAGATTTAGCTTGGTGTAAACTACTGAGACTAGAGAAAAAACAGAAAAGGAATTACCCTTGTTCACTTCTGTAACCTTGACTACGCTTGGGGCTGCTGCAGTGATGGTCAAGTTAACAGATGACCTGGAAGAACAGTCAATGAATTATTATTTTCTGTTTATGAATGAGCCTAGCACTCTTTGACCCCTGGAGGTGACTAATAAATGATAGCAGACTCAAAAAAAAAGGTGGGGGATGATGCTAGGATTAATTTCTATATCATCCCTCACTTTGAACATCTGAATTTAAATGAAATCCATTTAAATTAAAATTTTTCAGAATTTATGGGCTGGAGAGATAGCTCCACATTAAGGATACTGGCTACTCTTGCAGAGGACCCAGTTCCATTCCCAGCACCCACATGGCAGCTGACAACTGACTCCAGTTCCAGGGGAGCTGACTCTGCCTTCTGACCTCCGCAGGCATTGCACGACATGGGTATACCATAGCCTTACATGCAGGCATTACATTCATACACATACAATAAAAACAATAAATGAAAAATCAGAATTTGATCTGAAGGAAAGAGGGTAATAGGGCCATTGTATTATCTTTTAAAAATATAAAATAGAAGCCGGGCGTGGTGGTGCACACCTTTAATCCCAGCACTTGGGAGGCGGAGGCCTGTGGCTCTCTGTGAGTTCCAGGCCAGCCTAGTCTACATAATGAGTTCCAGGCTAGCTGGAGCTACAGGGAGACCCTGTCTCAAAAAGACTAAAAAATAAAATTTAAAAAATATATGAAATAGGGGTTACCAATGCATTTATAGGAATTGAATTCACTTTACCCCAAACCTTCCTATGCATTATGTATTCATTCTTAAAAGAATCAGATGTTAGAGTTTTATCTATCTTTGAGAACCTCATGTATTCCAGACTGGCCTCAAACTCAGTATGTAGCCAGGGATAACCTTGAACAATTTTTTTTTTTCTGAATAGGCTGTCATTGTAACCCAGGCTAGCCTCAAACTTGCTATGTTGCTGAGTATGACCTTGGACTGCCTATCCTCTTCTTGTATCCATCTCCCAGGTGTTGGAATTACAGGAATGTGCCTTTGTGCCCAGTTTACATGGTGCTGGGAATCAAATCTAGAGCCTGTATGCTAGGCAAGCATTCTTACCAGGTGAGCTCCAGCCCAGCCCTGACTTTGAACTTCTGATTCTCTTTTGCTTGAGAGCTAGGATTGCAGAAGAGTGCTAGGTTTACAGCTGGGCTTTACCATGCCTGGCTTAAATTTTATTTCTTCATATTTTGTGTTTTGTTGGCATGTATGTAAGTGCAGCACTTGCTGCAGTGCCTGAGGAGGTCAGAAGAGGGTGTCATATTCCTTGGAAATGGAGTTTATGGGTGTTTGTGAACCACCATGTGGTGCTGGGAATTGAACCTGGGTCCTACGCAAGAACAGCTCTTAGCTGCTGAGACTCTCCAGCCCCACAAACCCCGTGCTGAGTGCATGTTAGTCAAGTTCTACCAACTGAGCTGCATTGCTTACCCTAATGTTTGAGTTTCTGAAAACTAATTGCTTGTTGCCAGGCATGGTTATGCAACACCTGTAATTCCTGGAGGCAAAGACAGAAGGATCAAGGATCAAGACCATCCTTGGGTAGCGAGTCTAGCTTGAGCTACTGTGAGACTGTGTCTTGAAAATAAATATTTAATCCTTAATCCTAGCAGAGGCAGGCAGATCTCTGTGTTCAAGGCCAGCCTGGTCTATATAGTGAATTCCAGGCCAGATGGGGAATACAGGGAGACCCTGTCTCCAAAACAAACTGACTAAATAAATAATAATTTACTTGAGGATAGCCACCGGCCATTTGAAGCATTAAAATTACCAATATTGATATAGCTGAATTATGGCTAGGAAACAGTAAACTTATTTTAAATGTAATTTAGAGTTATTGAATAGTTTGAGAAAGAACTTTATACACACATATTGAAAATGGTATATAAAATGAAAACATGAAAATGAGGCATCTTTTAGAAATCACCAATTTTTTTTTTCTGGTCTTTTTTGAGATGGGTCTCCCTGTAGCTCCAGCTGACCTGGAACTCGCTATCTAGACCAACCAGGCTGGCCTTGAACTCACAGAGAGCCACCATGCCCAACTAGAAATCACAAAATCTTTATTGTAATTTTTTGTAGTTCCCTAAAAGTATGGTTAGAAGATCAGCATGGTGGTGTGCATCTGTAATCCCAGAACTTAGGAGGCAGTGGAGGCAGGAAGACTTCTGAGTTCAGAGCTAGCCTGGGCTACATAGGGAGTTTGTAGCTAGCCTGGTCTATGTAGTGAGACTCTGTCTTGTGTGTGTGTGTGTGTGTGTGTGTGTGTGTGCATGCATGCATGCATGCATGCATAAATTTGGGCTAGGGGTATACTGTTTATGTAGTGTCCACAAAGCCCTGGGTTCTATCTATCCTTAACATGCAAAAAAAAAAATTCACCTTTCAATATACATATGGCAATGCAGGGTCTAGTGGTGCAGGCCTTTAATCCCACCATTCAAGAGGTAGAGGCAGGCACATCTCTGTTAGATCAAGGCCAGCCTGGTCTGCATAGTGAGTTCCAGGCCAGCTGGGGCTTCAGGAAGACCCTGTCTCAATATTATATTATATATTTACATATATATAAATATATATGATGATTTCTATAGCATGAGAGATTAATTCATGGTCCAAATATACTACAATATATAGTATATATACAGGAATGCATAAAGAAAACTGTGTGTGTTTCTGCATTTCAAATGCAGATGTTGATACACCCTGAGAGTAGTTTATTTTTCTGTTGTCTTTTGAAATCTGGAAAATGGGGCTGTAGAGATGGCTCAATGGTTAAGAGCACTAGCTGCTCTTGCATAGGGCTGGGGTTCTGCTCCCAGCACCCACATAGTGGCTAACAACCAACCATAACCCCAGTTCCGGGGGGTCTGATGCTCTCTTGTGGCCTCCATAGGAATTGCACACACAGGTGCACTTGCATATATGCAGAGAAAACACTTATAAAAAATACAAATATAACTTAAAAGTCACAAATTGGCCAGTGGTCCTTTTGCAGGGGTCATGCTAAGCTCTACTGTTCCAGCATTAGAGTATATGCTGCTGAACAACATCCTAATAGTAGTTTATCAAGATATAGGAAAAGGTTCTGGAGAAATGGCTCAGCGGTTAAGAGTACGTGCTGTTCTTGCAGAGAGCCAAGTTCAATTCTCAGCATACACATTAGACTGTTCACAACCGCCAATGGCTTTAGCTCCAGGGGATCCTCTGGCCTCTTTGGGCATCTGTACTCTTGTGCACAGACCTCCTCTGAACATATAAATACATATAATTAAAAATGTTTTTTAAAAATCTTTTTAAAAGATATAGGAAGGTTATTTTCCATGGCAGCAGTGTATCCACATCTGTCCAAGGCTTCATAACTCCCTGCTGCTGTCAGAACAAGTGGTCTCTTGAATTTGTGGTTTGTGTCAGACCTGGTGGAATGCTGCCTCAGGTGATTATCCTGGTTTGGTAGAGGGAACAGACCGTGCCCCCAGCTATTGGAGCAGTCAGGTCTGAGCTTATTATAATTGTCTCTCATTTTGCATTTGTGTTCAGGGCTTTCCTTAGCCCAACCTAAGTTACTGCTCTATTTTTATTTTTTATTTATTTAAAAAAATTTTGAAGGATTTTTATTTTATGTGTACGTGTGCCACATGCATGCCTGGTGCTGCAGAGGCCAGAAGAGGGCGTCAGATGCCCTGGAAGAACTGGAGTTACAGAGAGTCGTTGGCTACCACGTGGGTGCTGGGAACCAATCCAGGTCCCATCTCTGACACCAGCTCTGCTTTTCAAGTTCTTTCTTTTTTCTTAGTAGACTCATCTCATTCTTTGGTCAATTTTCCATTTTTTTCTTTCCATCCCCCACCCCGCCATTTTTTTTTTTTTGAGACAGGGTCTCAATATATAATCCCAACTAACCTGGAACTCCCTATATAGACCAGAACTCCACCTGCTTCTGTCTCCCAAGTGCTGGGGTTAAAGGTGTGCAACCCACTCAGCCTGTGGTGTTTTATATTCAGTTTCACACTTAAGCATACCTCTTTGTTAACCCTAAGGATTTATGCTAAGAAATAAGGTATAATCTGATTCACTTGAGGCTAATCTTACCACTTGGAAGGCCGAGGCAGGAGGATTGCTGTGAGTTCAAGGCCAGCCTGGGCTTTATAATGAGATGGTGTCTGTCTCAACACCCCGAAATGGCATAGTCTGATTCATGTTGTGTTTCTGTGCTTGTCCCAGTACCCTTAGTATTCCCTTAGTCCCAGCACTGGGGAGGCAGAAACAGGTGAATCTCTGTGAGATCTATGGTAGCCTGGTCTACATAGCAAGTCCCAGACCAGCTGGGGCTACAGGGAAACCCTGTCTGAAAAAGACAGAAAACAAACAAAATAAAAACAAAGATAAAATCAAAAACATAATAAACATTGGGAAAGGGAAAGTCGGTTACTAGTCCAATGAAAAATACCTGTGCTTGTTATGATGTCATGTCCCTTTAAAAACAAATTTATCTCTAGCTTGTGACTATAGGAATGAGGAATCACCCATTGGAATTTCCAGTGCAGTTTCTAGCTGGCGCTTGTACCCTCAACCTAACCTGCCAGGGTCTGGCCAGGGGAATGCCTGTTCGTCTGTTGTCAGCGGTCACCTGTCTACTTTTCAAGGCCATGAAAAATTTCCCTGATTGCCAAGAGGTAATTTGAATTGAATACTTGACTGATTTTCTTCTTAACCTTAGGACACATATATAGAAAATACAGTTTTTCTCCTGTCTGTTAATAGATAAAATAGAACTTCCTGTCATAGAAAAAGTAGGAAATATGGATAAGTAATAAGGCTAAATTTTCAAAGTCTCATAAACCATTTACCCAGAAACATCTATTAACATTTCAGACAAAATATGACGGTACACCCATGTAATCTCAGCATTTGGGAGGTGGAGGCAGGAAGATCAGAAGTTCAGAGTTAAACTCAGCTGCTACATACAGAGTTTGAGACCAGCCTGTGCTACATGGGACCTTTTCTCAGAAAAGCTGGGCATAGGCCTTTAATCCCAACACTCAGGAGACAGAGGCAGGCAGGTCTTTGTGAGATCAAGGCTGACCTGGGGCTGCAGGGAAACCCTCTCTCTAAAAAAAACAAAACCAAAAATGTCATAAAAGAAAAAAAGTTGAGTTGGTTTGCTGATATGGCTCAGTAGGTAAAAATGCTTGTTGCCAAGGCTGACACCCCAAGTTCTATCCCAGGACCCACATAGTGGAAAGAGAGAACCAATTCCCATAAGTTATCCTCTGACCGTCACACACAAACAAACCCATCCATGCATGCATGCACTCTAAATGTAATTTAAAAAAATAAATTGAGCAGAATCATATTTCTAAATATAAAAGTTAAGGCCATGAAACTTTTTTGTGGTCTTTTTGAGACAGAGTCTCCCTGTAGACCAGGCTGGCCTCAGACTCAGAGATTTGCCTGTCTCTGCCTCCCGAGTGCTGGGATTCTGCCACCACGTCTGGCTGGCCATGAAACTTTTAGGAAAAAAATACTTTTTATTATTATTTTTATTTTATGTGTATGTGTATGTTGCCTGCATGTATGTAAGTGCACCTGAGTTGTGCAGTGCTGCGGAGGTCAGAAGAGGGTTTTGGGTTCTCCTGAAACTGGAGTTAAGGATGGTTTGTAGCTGCCATGTGGGTGCTGGGAATCGAACCTGGGCCCTTTGCAAGAGCAGTCAGTGATCTTAACTGCTGAGCCATCTCTCCAGCCCCAGAAGAAAATGTTTTTTACCTCAGTAATCAAACATATCTTAGGATATTGAAAGCACAGGTAATTAAAATATTTCTTTTGTACATATAATATTAAGGAAGAGGTCACACAGTTGAGAAGGTGTGGGCAGACATGGGAGGAGTTGGAGGAGGAGGAGGGCGGGGTGGGGTGATAGACATGGTGCTCCTGTATGAAACTGTCAGAAAAGCGGAAATTTAAAAATTACTTTTTAGGCCATGGACATAGCTCAGTGAAAAAGCATGGGCAAGGCCAAGGCTTTACTTTCTAGCCCCAGCACCAAAAAACAAACTAAGAGGTGTTGGGAATAGCTTCATGATAGAGCACCTGCCTAGCATATGTGAGGCCCTGAGTTTAGTCCCCAGCACTGCAAAATCAATCAATCAAACAATAAAAGTTGAGGCAGTAGGGCAGATGACTCATTAGGTAAGAGTTCTTGCTTTTATAGTGAAGACCTGAGTTCAAATCCCCAAAACCCACTTACATAAACAGATCTGGTCACATTCATGGCTGTAACCCCAGCACTGTAAGGGGCTAGAGACAGGAAGATCACTGGGGCTTGCTGGCCAGCCAGCGTAGCCAAAGTGAGTTCCTTGATCAGTGAGAGACCTTGTCTCAAAAGATGGAGGACCAGTGAGATGGCTCGGGTAGTAAAGACAACCAAGCCTGATGACCAGGTTAATCATGGGATCTACATGGTAGAAGGAGAGACAAACTCCTGAAGGTTGTCCTCTGACTTCCCTATGGACCAGTGGCACATGCATGCCCCTTACCCCCTATACATACATACAGATAAATGTAATTTTTTTTTGGTCTTTTTGAAACAGGGTCTCCCTGTAGCCCCAACTGGCCTGGAACTTACTATGTAGACCAGGCTGGCCTTGAACT